TCAGGACCTCTGGAAAAACAGTCGGTGTTCTTAACTGCTGAGCCATCTTTCCAGCCCAGCTGCCTGACATTCTAAACAGGAGTTGCTACTATAAAACTAAGCTAAGTTCTCTATAAAACTAAGCTAGGCTTACTTACTTTAAGACATACTAAAATATTAGATAATTTGCCCCTTTTTTGTTTTTGTTTTTCTGGATGGTTTCACTGTACCACTGGCTGTCCTGGAACACTCTCTCTGTAGACTGGGCTGTCCTCAAACTTGGAGATCTGCCTGCCTCCACCTCCTAAGTGCTGGAATTGAAGGTGTGTGCCACCCACTACCTGGTTTGTTTGTTTGTTTGTTTGTTTATTTATTTATTTTTGAGATTGAATCTCACTGTGTTACCTCATCTGGCCTTGAACTTCTGGCTTAAGCAACTTTCGTACCTCACTTCCAAGTAGGTAGGTCCGCAGGTGTGTACTACCACCCCTAGTTCTAACATCTAATTGTGAAATTCCAGGTTGTGTTCGTGTAATTTTATGTAGAAGTTTAAAACTACTTCATCTGTTGTGATCTGTCTTCAGCTTATTTTCAGAAAGTACACTAAATTGCTCTCACTTTAAGCAGTATTTTGAAGATAATTGTAATTTTAAGAGCTGTAGAAAGAAACTATGGAGCTGTCTCAAACTAAAACTAAAAGGACTAAAAATGTGAACTTATGTTTGAACTGAGGAGCTAGTATGTTTAGTTGTTTTTATTTATTTTTAGAATATCCTGTACTTATTCTTTGATAATCTGATACATGTATTCAACGTATCTTTATCATATCCCCTAGTTGCTTATTTTTTAAAGAAACTGCCAAATGGTTTTCTCAGGTGGTTTTTGTTGTGGCAAATTTGTTTGTGTTTTCACTTGGAAACCACACATGGAGTAAACCATAGAGTTTTCTATTGGACTCGGAGGAGATAGAAGGATGCAGAGACTAAGGAGGGGCCAAGAGGGCTGAAGTGATTTTTGTTCTGTCACTCAATAAATCAATCAGGTTTATTTCCTAATATTTGACTCTTGAGCTTTATTGAATAAAAAAACATTAAAAGAAGCCAAAATAATAGGCTTCATCTAACTTCCTATATGTGATTTTGGGCTTAAGTTGAAAGCAATTAACTAGGAATTCAGTTCGTGTATTCCAGATGTATTTAATAGATTGTGATCCTTTAACCTCTTTAAGATCTACTGCATGTTTTGATACCACAAGGCTTTTGGTGACGTTGAGACACATCTGCTTCTGGCAACACCAGTTTACTTCAAAAAAAAAAAAAAAGGATGATGGGCATCAACGAACCTCCATATGGAGTTGCTTTCATTGGGGCAAAGCTAGACATTTGGGCAAGAAACTACCCTTGCCTGGCCTGTTGCCAGTATGCTGTCCAAATTAGACAAGTAGGGCACTAAAGAAGGTGATTGCCAAACTTTGCTAAGACAAGGTAGGACAATCCTTCAAAATTTCCTGCTTCTCAAAAATTCTGTCAGATATTCTAGGCCTGTAGGCAGAAGATGGATGCCCCAATGTTGCAGAGGAACCTTGGGGTGACTGTTTAGGTAGCCACATGTCTCTGCCATTTTTATAGTTTTAGAAGTTGCTTGCTCTGCACCTCCTTCTCAAGTCTCTGAAGATTAGTTATAGTTACAGTTTTCCTTAATTATGATAGAAAGTAAATTTAGATACAAAATTTTGGACTCAACAAGGTAAGACATATAATGGAGTATTTTCTCTGAATTTGACAAATACTAATGGAGTGGGCATTGTGAATGTATTCCTTACTTGATAATTGTTTTTATTGTATATAATTTCATTTTGTTAAAGCTAATACCTTTTTGTCCTTACTGCATATAATTAATTATACTATGTTAGAGTTTAAAATGTTTCCTTTTTATTTAGACAAAAGGGAGAAATGTTGCAGGAGGTTTTTGTTTTCACTCCAAGACTCCCCATGAAGTGGACCAGATTCAGAGGAGATAGGATGAAGAGAATAAGGAGGGGCTAAAAAGATGCTCCGTGGTTTTGATTGAAAAGGTGGAGAAGAGGGTGAAGTGATCTTTCCTCTGTTGCTCTGTAAATCAGTTTTATTTCTTCATATTTGACTCCTGAGCTTTATTTAATACAACATTCAAAGAAGCTACCGTGGGCCTTAAAGTGACCCGTCCCGCAGGTGCAGTCATTCAGGGTTCCGAAGGGGGGCTGCCTGAAAGAGTCATGGGCGAGAGAAAGAAAGGAGACCAAGCAGCTCGAGAAAGGACAAGAGTCCGTCTGTGCAATGTCAAGGTCTCGATTTATTGGGGCTCCGAGTGGGCTTAAATAGCCCTGCAACAATAGAATTGGGGGGAATAATAGAAGGAACATCTGGTATTTGCTGGGACTGGAACATTCTTCTTATCAGCCGGAACATCTAGTGGTCTTCCTTGGAACAGCGAACAGAAAAGCCCCAGACCCTTTCTCGGAACAGAAGCAGTTAGCAGTTCCACTTGGCCAAACCATATCTAATTACAGGTTACAGGAGACTCACAGAGCTGGCTTTAAGCCGAAAACTTAAAGGTCATTAAAAGGCTTATAAAGGTGGGCTTTAAGCTGCATAGTTTTAGGCCCACGGCCCCTTACATTAAAGGATGTATAATGGTATTGAGTTGTGTTCTTTTTGCTTTTTTGTCTTTGTTTTTGTGGGTTTTTTTTTTTTTTTTTTTTTTTTTTTTTTTTTTTTTTGT